TCGGCTGCTGACTCGCATGTCGCGGGATTGAATCCCGGCAGCGGCAACTGCATTTTTGGTGGAGGCAAAACTGCTGTAGGCCCGTATGCTCACATTTGGCTGCACGTTAAATCAATTCAAAACTTTATTACAAATATTTTTCTCGGTGAAGGTGGAGCCTCAGTCCAGGGCCCATGTGGCCTTTGCCGTCTTGCAAGCTCTGTCGATCAGCTTGAGCTGTTTTTCAGGCTTAGAGAAGGACAGCGCAGCCTCCTACGTTAAAAACAAAACAAAAAACCCATGTGGTTTAAATTTCGGAGTCCTACGCTACGGCGTTTCTCATTATCATATGGTGATTTCGGGACCATAACCCCTCGTAAAAAAAAAAAAAAGCGCGAGACTCGTGAGTCCGATGACCGCTCTTCTCACTGGTCGAGCGACAACTGCCGAAGCAGTCGAACGTTTTCGCGGCGTACGCCTACCATCGAGGTCATTTTCCCCGAAAACGTACGCACCCCGTCGCTGAAGGTGCAGGGAAGACGCAGCGGCGCCGTTGCCGGGTAATTAGCCTCCGGAAGTCTTTTCCCAATACAAAGGTGAAGATGCGCGCGGCGAGAATATCAGACGTTTGTGAAACAGCATTACGTCACTAACATGACGTCATCAGATAACGTCGTAACTCGGTCAATATAGGGCCGATCACACAGGCAGTGCAAAATCAGGTCCCCCCTTAATCCATCCCTTATTCTCAATCATTATTATTTAGTTCTACGTATTCTCACTGCAGAACTCTCACTTCCATCTTTTTTTTTCTCGTTTCTAACCATTAAGGTTCCTACGTCAGCTTTATTCACACCACCTCCCCACTGTTCCGATTCCCCCCCCCCCTTTTTTTTTTCATTTCTATTGCCGAAAGTTTCAGCTCCCTAATGAAAGGTGGTCGCTGCGGTGAGCACGTGGAATTCGACGAAGACACAGAAAACAAAACGCGAGCTCTCAGTGCGAGGATAGATTAAGAAGGTGCAGAAAAACGAGGCAGACACAGAAGGTCGAAACTGAGAAAGAGGCAAGAAATAAAGAAAGAGACGGAGCGAAGCGGGTCAACGTCGTCGAGTTGAAGAATGAACCGCGCTGCCACTGATGGTGACCGAGTGAGGTTACACGCTTCACAGTTCTCGTCGCTGTGTTTAATCTTTCCGCCGGCACACCTCCGTGAAATTAAGAACCCTGCTGAAACTTCTCCCCCCCTTACGAAGGCTTGACTGCGGAAACCCTCTCCACCCCTTCTCTCTCTCTCAACTCTCACTACCCCTTTTCTTTTTCTGTCTCCCTAATTTCGACCCTCTATGCCTATATCTACCATGGCCCTCCAGTTGCCCTTTCTACTTCTATTTTTTTTTGTTTTACGTTGATACCTTCCTTTATTCTTTATTTTATTGTCGGGTCGTTTATTAGAGCACCACCTTCCTCTTCGCTTTACGCTCGGAAGCCGAGTGTGCGGCGCTTTCAGCGAGGGGTTCGCTCAAACGGAAGATCGAAACTGCTCGCCTTTTTTTTTTTTTAACACCGACACCCCCCCCCCCCCTTTTTTTTTTTTCTGCAGGCCGGAATACGTTTGTTTCATCCGAGTGTCCGTCTTTGATGTTTCGTCTTCTTCTGAGACTTCGTTTTATTTTCGTGCGTTTAGTTCGTCTAACAGCGGTGCACCACACTTACGTCGCCACCTTTCCCCGCCCCGCAGCCGCAGTCAAATGAATCGCTCGGAAACCTCTAATTCCTGGCGGCTCCGACCGAGGCTGTCGTAAGAAAAAAAAAAAAGCTTAAGAGGTTCCTCAGTGGGCCCTGGTGCTGTAGTGTTCCCACGTTACAGAAAAAAAACATAGAGAGATCCATGAAAGATCGAGGAGACAGAAAACCGACGATGCCCATGAATCAGGCGAGAACAGTAGCGAAAAAAAAAAAAAAAACGGCCTTAAGCAAGAAAGTCGCTATAAAGAAACGACAAGCGTACGAGTATTGACCGGAAACACGGCGCGCAGGGGGGAAGCGAGAATCATATTATGTTTAAAAAAATACAAAGAAAGAGCGTGATTACATGATATGTAATAGGCTCCAGACGAAAAGCTTATACACATAACACATAACAGACAAAAAGGCTGCCATGTTTCTCGTCGCTACGTTTCTTTCCTCAGTTTTTCTTTCTTCCTTTCTCTTTGCCCGGACACTCCCGCGATTCGACCACGCGTGTGCCTCAGTGCGGCCGCATCGCCATCGTCATTAAACCCGATGGTGTCGCCTCCAATCGGGGGACGCGCGAATGATATCCACTTATTTTAAATTAGGAAACTCACACCACTACCACCGTTACCGCTGGAACGAGAGAAGGTTCTGAAGGGAGAGGAGGGAGAGCTACGATTGAATAGGAAAGAGAGAGAGAGAGAGGTGATATTAAGTAGAAGAGAGAGAGAGAAGCGAGGAGAAGAGGGAAAGGTGGGAACGCCAAAAGAAAAGCCAGAAAGGCAAATCGGGGCGATGGGGAAATGCGGGCGCGAGGGATGCTTTCCGTAAAGCGTCGTTATGCGGCACGCCATCCTCTTCAATTTCCCTTTCACACTTTAAATTGTTTTGCTGCTTCCACGAGTGGACTCCTGGCTGGCCGCGGTTAGCTCCGCGCAAAGCCGACGAGCATGACCCTCCACAAAACGCCACCCTGTCCTCTTCTTCTGGCGACCTTTTCTTGTTTTTTTTTTTCCTACTTCACTAATTCCTTTCTTTCCTTCCCTTTAATTGCCGCTTTCCAGCGGCGCGTCCGTCGCTTTGCTTCGCGGAAGCTCGCACTTTTCTATACTTTTTTTTAAATTTTCGGTGCCACTTCGCAAATCACTTTATTCCCTGTTCAAATAATTGCCCCCCGAAAAGTTAACGCGCGTCGCCTTTGCCCGGAATCCCACTACTTCCTCACCCTCTTTTTCACAGGCGTACACAGGCGAAACAGTGACGGTGAGGTAGGATAAGAATGAAAGAGAGCGAGAGAGAGATAAGCAGTGAGGAGGAGGAAGGGAGGATCATACGCAAGACGTACGCAAGAAAGCTCTCGATGAAAAGCACAACAAAATCAGAGAGCGAGAGGGTGAGAAGGCAAACTAGAACGCGGGAAAGAGGCAACGGTAATTCGCAATACGAGCGCGTCGGCAGCGGTGGCTGGAAACCCGAAAAGGGGTTAACGCGCGCACCATCTTTTCTTCTTTTTATTTGTCACCCTTCACTTCGTTTGCTTCTTCTCGGGGCGCGGAAGTCGAGAAAACTGCTTATTATTCCGATATTTCTCGTTACAACCCTCCCTTCAATTTCAACCGCCCCCCCCCCTTTCCTTTCTTCTGGAGCCTTGCTAACAGCTCCCCCCCCCTCACGTTTTCCATCATCGAAAGTTGTCTTCTTTTTCTTTTTTTTTTGTTTAGGCAACCAATCCTAGCTTGTTTCTGAGAGTCCGAAATGAATCGTTGCTTTGTTTCGTTCTTCACTCGATGGGGCCCCGAAACGTGGCTCTGATTTTGTTGCTTCTTGTGGGGCAGAGTCAGCACGCTTTTGCGTAACCTCTCTCGAGCTTCGCGATGCCATAAACACACGCGCATGCGGGTGCGATGCGGCTAATCTGATTAAAACTCGCGCTGCCGTATACCCATGTCAAAGAGAGAGAAAGAGAAAGATGTGTTGAAACTTTTGTTTGAGGAGAATGGCAGGAAAGGTCGTTTCGTACAAACGCGAAACATAAGATTAAAAAAAAAAAGATCCGCTGCTATTTCGTTTTATAAGGCGGCATCGTAACGATGGCCGCGACGTCTTGGCGTCGCTTTTTCATCTGCGTGCGCCTGTCAAACACCCGAAAAACTGGCTCCACCCATCGGTTCTGTCGTGTACGTGTCTCGCGAGCTCGAGGAGTCGCAGTAACGAATTTCGAGACTGGTTCTCCTTGAATCACTCAACGCTCGTCAACAGAAAGAGGCGTCGGAAGATAACTCTTAACTGTCACAACTTTTGTGCTTCTTTTTTTTTTCATTTGTTGGCCTCATACCCTACCGTACCAATCCTTTGCTTGTAATTCTTCTGATTAGGCTTTCGCACCCGTCCGTTGCTACTGCTGCATTTGTGAAGAGTTAAGTATTGGACGGGAGAGGGAGGATCCTCTACGAAAAAGACTTAAAGAAGCGAACAAGGACTAGAATGGCTGCAAGTGGTGAGGAGAGGAGGAGAACGGTAAATGAAAGGCAGGGAGGTTAAGCAAGGCTAAGCCCAGTAGGTCGCACTACTCTGGGGAATAGAAGGGGTAATAAATTCACTGCTGTCTCCTAAGACGATAGTTATAGCGCGAGAACAAAACGACGACACGGAGACAAGAAGGACACGAAAGACACGAGCGCTCGTGTCTTTCGTGTCCTTCTTGTCTCTGTGTCGTCGTTTTGTTCTCGCGCTATAACTATCGTCATGCCAAACCAACTAGCCCAAGCTGCCACATGTCTCCTAAGCATTTGCCTGAGACTACTTGAAGGTGAAATCTATCCATTTCCCATCAGTCGGTCAGGCACCCGAAAGCTTTCTGCACTTAACGTCGTTTTGCATTGCCTCCGGGACCCGAGGCTTGCAAACTTTCTGCTGCTCACGTGGTTTCGCAGTGTCTCAAAGATCAGCCCGCCTCTAATACGGCGACACTGTGTGGTGTGATTATTAGAGCACATGACGTCACGGTATGGAACGGCGAATTCATCCTGTTGTCTTCTTTTTTTTTAGTCCAATTCATCTGTACGCTGAAGTAACCCAACATGGTCAAGAATTAGTCCGCTGTCCATCACTGAGAGAAAACGTTTGTTTCACAAATAAAGTTTACTTCGCCTTCTACTACAATGAGGCGTGCGTCGTAATCATATACCTTGGTACATGTACGCCAGCCCACACACCACACTGTTACCCGCAGTCTGGACAGCCTTGCCAACACCGGTGTTCACGTCTTGCTTTATTCGTCGCAGGTGACCGATCGAACGGCTCCAACAGCAACAGCATGACCGGCGGAACGGTCGGAAGCAACGGCCCTGCTGGCGGCGCTGGGGAACAACCTTCGCCGTCGGCCGTGGCCGCTGCGGCAGCCGCCGCCAACCTGGGTCTCAAGGTGGACCCGCTGTTGCTGGGCCGATACGGCAACGCCGTCGACCTCTGCCTCTCCGACAGGCTCTCCGAGCTTCGCCAGGGACTCGCCGGTGTCAACGGCGGGTCGGCATTCGCGCACCAGGTTGGTAACTATGGCTATATGACTTTTGTGGGGCGCTTGAACCGTCTATTGCTTGTTTAATTTATCGTGAATGTATTCCAAGCAACAAAAGTAAGGCGTTTATTCTTATACTACACAAATCCCCATAACTTATTTCTTGCTGCGGCTAATACTACTACTACTACTACCAGTTATCACCATTACACCACCACTCGAAGTAGTAGTACAATTACTATTACTGTCATTGTTAGTGCTATCCACTGCAATTCGATCTATGGAGAACTCAATACGTTCCGCGTTGTCACCGATTCATCGTTGTATTCAACATTGCAGCTATAACTATTCTGTCAGCCTTCCTAAGTAACGTCCCGAATTTGCTTTCCGATTGACGTCACATGGTCGTACTCTAATCTCACCCCTTATGTAATACTCCTTTGTGGGGCCTTTAGGGCGACAAAGTGATCTGATGTGGTATTGAAAGATACTTTGTACGAGCCGCACAAAACATTCAATGACTTGCATTGAGTCATTGTTCAAAGCGTACTCGATAACTTGGTTGTCCCATTTTCCCCGCAATGCAGCCCAACACCACAACCGGAAGCCTACTCGCGACGACCGCAGCGGCCCCATACCTGAGCCACGCGGCCGCGGGCTACGCAGCGGGACTGCTCGGCCCGCACGGGTACTACGCCAGCGCCAACGGCGCCACGTGGCCTCCCGCCCTGGCGCCGACGCTGCTCTACCCTCAACTCTACGGCGGCTCCGTGGGCCAACCCAACGCCGCCGCGGCCGCGGCTGCTGCCGCTGCTGCAGCCGCAGCTGCGGGCCTGCATCCGGGTCTCCAGCTACTGCGCAATGAACTGAGGGCCGCCAGCTTGCATAGCGGGAGCCACCATCACCCTCTGGGTGGCGGGGAGTCGTCCTCCCCCGACAGGTCAGCGACGGCGTCTCCGACCATGGACAGCGACGTGAGCTGTTCCTCTCCAAAGCACGCCCGCTCCCAAGACGATTCGGAGCGTAGCGACCGGAGCATATCGCCGCCACCTCTGCCTCTTCCGATGGCCATGATCGACGACGTCGTTGCCAGGAAGAAGCCATCCCCGCTGACGGCAACGACGTTGACGGGTGGTGCGACGCTAAGCAAAGCTGCCGGAGGCACCCCGCCCGTGCTTCCGCTCGTGGTCCCGCCGCCTCCGAGTGTTGTGAGTGGTGGTGCACGGACAGGTGGACTGGTGACGACGACGAGCACGCCGACGGTGCTGCTGTCGGCGTCGGGTGCTACGACGGCGACGCGGGGCTCTTCTCCGAACTCTGCGAACGCGGCGACCAACGGACACGGTGGCAGTGGTGATTCTTCGCTCTGGAGACCGTACTGAAAGAGAAATGTGACACTGACGTTTCTGTGCGCGCGAAGAAAAATGCCCGCTGACGCCGTGTCAGGGAGAAGAAAAGGTGCAGTGCCATCCATTGTACATACATGTATCCCAGCACGCCGAGGACTTTCTGTGAGACAATGCGTGTTTCGCTTCTATTTTTGTCACACTGTACTGTCAGACTGGTCGCACTCCTGCGGCTATTCTGGTGTGCTGTCAACTACAACTGAATCCTAGGGGATGTTCACGCAGCCTAGCAACATTCTAGCCGATTTCCGTTGGGTGGCGTACAAAACATAGTCACGTCTTTAAAGAAGCAAAAAGGTGGCAGCTTTAAATTCGAAAGTTGAGCCAGAAATCCCAAAAGCTGTCCTACTGTAGAGTGGTTCGAAAAATGAGCACGGCCGATTGCGATAGAGGGTATACTACTAGCGAAGATGGCCATAGCCAGTTGATCAATCCATTCAAGTTACGAAAGTGTACAATTACCGACCAACTGAGCAAAGGCTCTGATTTCTTGCAGTTAGGCACTGTCCGGCTTCTGAAAGTCAAACGTGTGGAAGCGACATTCACTCTTTTTCGAAGTGGAGAAAGTGACGTGGAGCTCAGGTAGCCATAAATAAATAGTTCGAGAAGAACGCGATGGCGACAGACAAACAACGCGCCGGATTCGATGCTTTTTAAGCGCCTCTAACAACGTGCGCTATAACCTAGCTCCAACCTAGGAAGCCACAGGAGCGGTAAGCCGAGGCCTTTCAGGACGTCATGCGGAACAAAACCAGAACCTAAAAATAAGGGGAGTGAATAAGCGGTACAGCTACACAGTGCGTAGGGGCGTTCTTGTGCGTGGTGCTTGCGTGGCCCGCGTCGCACATTGTGAGAGAAAGAAGATGAAGAAGCGACGTTTCCTCGCGGGGCGCAAATCCATTCAACTGCGGCGATGTGTTGTGTTGACAGAAGGCGCTGCTTGCGGAGCCGGTGAATCGGGAAAGGGGCGTAAAGGAGGCTGGCCTCTATGTGTACATAGTGTGAGGGAGGGTAGCTGTGGGGAGAGGGAAACTGAGAGCTGAGCGGAACGAAGAAGGCTGGGCAGGTGTAGTAGCGTGGGTACGGACGTTCGAGCAATGACTTCGCCGCTGCCGGTATCCTCGTCTTCTCGCCGTCTTGCATTTGACGTCTTTCTTTTTGTTTTTTTTTTTGTTCGCTCGTACGCTTCTTGATCTCGGAGTCGTAGCGCGTAGGGAACGCGCGCCTTCCTAGACGTATGTCACGCGTGACGACGTTTTGTCGTTAATATTATTATTTTTTTCTGCTTCGTCCATTGGCAGCCCACCCGACCAGTGCCGCTCGTACTATTCGCTGGTGATGAAAACCATAGAAGGACTTCTTTTGTATGGCGTGTATATTTATAGACACACAGAGAGGAAACACACGATGCCAGGTCTGGAACACGTATGCGAGTTTTTAAAAAATATATACAAGGGCAAAAATATATCCAAAATTTCAGAGATGTCGCATGTCGTGTGAAAGGTCTGGGTGGAGTTGGCGTATAAATAAATAAAGAGAATGTTTCTTTTCTTCTGTGTATTTAATACCTTGGCCTATTGTGTCTTTTTTAAATACTGCTTAAGTGTGACGAGACGGCTCTGCTGTCTCGTCTTCTAAAGCCTCCGTCGTTTTACGTGTCAACACCACAGTATGGCTAAGAGGCACCAAATCATGAACTCCGCGTGGATTTTGACTCCCTGTAGATTTTTTTTTAACATTCGCCCAAGCTGTAAGCATACGGGTGCTCTTCCATTTCGCCCCCTATAAAATATGGCTGCCGTTCCGGGAATCGAACCCGGCTCCTCGAGCATAGCTGTGCAAGACTATTAGTCTGCTAAGGTACCACGTAGTGGCTCAATCGTCATGGCTTGTCACTATGCAAGCGCAAATTGTAGTTGCTACATAACTCAGCTACAACTCTTCGAGACCGGAGTTATCAATAACAAAAAAACTGAAGTCGTGAAAAATGACGGCGAAGAGGTTTCTATATATGAAAGACATTACCAAGGATGATTGCGCAGAATATAGCAAACTGTAAACGTTTCGTTGCGTGGTACACCATGGTGCACGTGTATTATAGCTAAAGCGTAACTGAATTTTGAGCGTTTCACAAGATTCCATTGAAAAGTCACGTAATTTAGGTCCTATATTCGAAATGTATCAGTTATTCGAATGCACAGCCATCGATGGAGGACATAAGGACGTAATAATACAATTAAGTGGCATATTTCGGAAGCAGAGTGTACTACTCACGAATTGAAAGGAAACACAAAAACTATTACGTCTAGCAAACAAAACGCTCGATATAACCACGCCAGGTTGCTACGAATATGACCACTAAAGGTCATGTTGGCTTTAGTGCGTGTACAAAACAATATTACGCCCAAACCTCCTCGATTACACACCCATGAGACACAAACTGATGAAGTCGGTGGAAACTGAAGTGCTTACACCACTTTAGTATACACTTCACTTTACACGATTGCGCTTACACGATTGCGTTGCTTTTCAACAACACTTACTCCTGAATATGTATGGCTCCGTTACAACTTACCGAGCGCAGCTTTTATGACTAATAAATAAAAAGGCACAAGTATAGCGTAGGAAGTGTGGCATTGTTTTGTATTTATGATTGTTATATTACCTTGTTTGTTTATATAAAATTCCTTTCTGTCATCCGTCAAGGTTGATCATGATAGATCATGGTTTCTTTAGGGGTAAGTACCTACATAACTCGTGCAAAGAGCACAATTTAAAGTTTTTCGCACTCTGTGAGGCCCCCGGGACGGCGTTATGCTCTCCCATCGTTGAGTACCAAGTACTCTAAATCGTTTGCCACTTTTTCTAAACACAGAGCCGAAACTTTACAGCAAGCCTATTACTTTCAGGACGAGTAGATGTAACTCGTATCTGAGACGGCACAATGCACTTCCACAGTGTGATACAAAGTACCCTAAATCGTTGAACTATTTCTCTAAACACCCTTACGAACCACTTCCTTGTGTGGCTCTCTGCTCTCCCATAGTCGAGTACCAAGTACTCGAAATCGTTAAACACGTTTTTCTAAACACACAGTTGAGTGCGAAGTACTCGAAATTGTTGATCATTTATTCTAAACGCACATTCGTGAATTCTGCACCACCGCAGAGTTTCAAGTTTCTGCGATCTGCGGTACGGCTTTCTGCTCCCCTATAGTAGAGCACCAATGTTATAAATTGCTAAAATTTTTCTAGGCACGGTGGTCTCAACTTTACACTGACACAGTTTTGTTTTCCTGTCAAAACCTGGGACAGCTTATGCTCTCCCACAATCGTGCTCTAAATCGTCGAACATTTGTTTTGAACACACGTATTACTATATGGTAATGCTCTCATGGCCAGTCATTACCATAAAAATAAAGGTGCGGCCCGTCGCATTCCTAGAAAACAACGGGAGCTGCCAAGTTGAACTTGTTGCCGCTATGACGGCACAAGACGGGTCGCACGTTTATATAGAACGTCTGTAGAAGCATCTTTGTGTGGTGGGTTTTCTTCAGGAGCCTTGGCTAAAATTATAAGCAAAGCTTTTAACTCCTAGCTAACATCATTAAGGTGAAAACCTCAGATGCCTCCCCAGACGCGGAACTCACCGAACGCGGCGTTCTGCGTCTGCGGCGTCTGCGTCAACACGAGTGATGAAAAAAATCACCATCGCGTGATGACATCATCATATGACGTCGCAGATCGTGATAATTTATGGCTTGGTCATGATTGAATCAAGAAGTCACTAAGACGTCGGGTAACGTGACATCACATGATGTCGTCATAGCAGTGACAACATGGCTTTGTCAAAGGCACATCGATCCCGGAGCCAGTGAAACACCAGGTGAGGTACAAAGCTTGCAATGCCTCTAATCACAGAGGCCGTGCAAAATCACGTTAGGTGCAGAAAGATTTCGGAGTGGGGTGGGACATGATCAATACATCGACTGAGAAAAAGGTCAAGAATAATTATTATGATCAGAAAATTACGATTTACAAAGGACATCGTCAATACGGTGGTAGAGTGTACCCAATTGAAGTATACCGTAAGTCTTAACCATTTCGTGAAATACATTGCTCAATCATTGAAGAGTCTACGTGACATTGTAAGTGATTTTTAGTGCAACTTAGGAACCTTTAGAAGCTCACGCATTCACACTCGCTTACACTCAAGGAGCACACACAAGGGCATAATTCTTCTTGAGGGGATGCGCCGCTGTGCTCAGGAATGCATGACAAGTTCTAATAATAAACATCCACGGTTCACTCATGGTAAACTTTAAGGAATGACATACACGCTGTGCAGTAGGCCATACAGATCCGATTTTAGAGGACAAAGCAGAGCTGAGACGAACGCCTTCCGAATGCAGAGCAAGCGAGTTTCTTCACCTACGCAATCAAGCAAAAGCCAGCAGTCGTGCCGCAGCCTTTTCATCTTCTAAACCGCGCCTGATTGTGTGCCATGCGCCGTTCCATACCTTACAGGCACGCGGTCTCCGCTGCACTCAGAAGTACTGCCCGCTCTGTCGTACTGCTCGGGACCGTGAGAAAAGGTCCGGCCAAGAATGGGCCTACAAGGAGTTCCATACACAAACTCTCCTTGTTGACCGGCATCCGAACAGGCTAAAATTTGATTCACCGCTTGAATGGGCAGCGGAGGCGGCCGAGCTCCGGTTCTAGCGAGGAATCTCTCACCTGTGTGTATAACTTCTTCGAGCCCGTCTCTGCACATAACAATCACGTGGTATAAAACGTGTGCGGAGGAGGGGGGGGGAGCTTTTGGAAGTCTGCCGAAACGAGGCAATGAAAAAAAAAAGAAGGAAAGAAAGCAACAAAGTCAACTAACAAGCTCGGACACTTGTGGGTACACATACTCTTCGCCGCACTGAAGACGTAACAAAAGGAAAGAAGCGCCCCCCTTCGGGGGCAAGTTTGAGGCTGCCAAGCACACCACGGCCCGTCGCTTCGCAGGGTTAGCGCTAAACAAAGGACCTAGCTTGGAGCAAGCTTCACTGTGTTCGCCCACGTCAGCAGAACTTTGCCACTCACCCGTAATATTGGAGAAGGAAAGGGAGTAAGAGAGAGGCAAAAAGAGAAGCAAAGAGAGAAGCAATGAGAGAAGGAAGTCACCGAGCGTTGTCTATAAAGCAGACACGATGGGTGTTGTGTCTACAAAAAGGTCCGCGGCACGAACTTTCGGAACTGCTGCTGGCTTTGAGCAAAGTGCAACGCCCCCCCCCCCCCCCTTTTTTTTTTTGCGCACACACAGCGCACATGCGCGCAGGCTGCAGAGAAAGCGACAGAGAGTAAAAAAGATAGAAGCAAGGGTGGGCGGTAGCCATAACGCCTTTTGAGGGAGTGCAACTCCCCGGAACCATGGATTGACGGTGAGTCATCAAACCGCACATTACGGCGCCCAGTGCGTAGCGCAAAGGCGCTGCGTCGCCTTGCACACGTCCTCCTCTTCTACCCGCAATGACCACCAGGCCGGAACCTTTCTTAAGGAGGGGATATAAATAAAAACGAACATACGTGGGCGCGCAAGCACACACGTTTTACTGCATACGTGTGTACGTGAGAAGACGAAACGGACGGCGGCCGAAACGTCGGCGGTGTATCTGCCTTATAAGGCTAGCCACGGTTCGGTGCACGCCGCAGTCGGCGCGCTATCCCATCGGAGAATGGCGAATAGTAAGTGTGAATGCTAGTGCAGGGAGCTAAATAGAAAGAGCAGCCTGAAAAGAGCTGACGTCTCTGTCTGTGTGCGGGTCGTGGCACCGCCATGCGCGGCCTCACTAGCCGGCAGCTTCTTTTGTGCGCTCTTTAAGTGTTAGGTAAAACTGTCGGCATATTAGGCCCCCTTTAAATGGTAATTGATGCTCGAAAAGAGTCTTCAGGAACAAAATAATTGTTTTTCGAGAGGTTACCTAGAAACTGTCTCCGTGCATGTGTCGTAGTAAGCAATTAGTTTTTTTATTTGAGTGTAAGAGAACAAATGAAAACGACAAGCTGCGTTCTATACAGGTGGACAAAGATATACGTGAAGTTTGTGGTTCGTGAGAACTACGGCCCAAGAATTAAGTTTAAAGTCTCCTATTACAATTACAGATCTTGTAAGGAAGCAAAGTATTTGAAGCACTTGAGGCTGTTATGCGTAAAGCTCATAATGAATAATTTATTATAATTTTTACGTGTCGAAACAACAATATATCTTTACGAGCCCCTTCGTAGCATGGTAGATTCCTGATTAATTTTGATCGCCTAGGGCTTATTTAAGGTGCACCTGACTATACGTACAACGTAACAGCGGTTTGAACCCTCCAAAGATGGCCGCACATCAGTGGGCAGCGCGAACCGCGTTTAGGCATACTGTGAACCAGGCGAAATAATAATGTTGTCGACCAAGCGCGCACCTTAGTCATGAAGTTCCGACTTAGGCAACTCGGAAAATAGATCAAGGGTAAGGACTAAATCAGTACCCTCAATGTCTCCAGTTCATGTGCGGCGCTAACAACCGGGTCTCCGGT